CCATTTGCCTGTGACTCCATTTATATCAGCTATTCCAGGTCTTCTTCTGCAGTTTATGGCACACCCTGGTCTGCTTCAGGGAGTGATTTGCATATCAGATGGGAGRCTGGAGGGGTTGGAAGGATCCCTTAGGTCAGTTTTTGAGCTCTTTTAGAGAGCAGATTCCTGGAGGGTCCTCAAATCCTAAAGCAAAGAGCAGTCATGCACCTGGAAGGGCAGCGGGTATTGGGAGCTGGTTTGTCTGTTTTAAAAACAAGCTGCTTAAGCAGGGAAAGGGGCATACAAATTGTCTTTCCATACATTTCCATGCAGGCAGGGGGAATAATGGCAGAGGAGCGGCAGGGAAGGGGCTTTGTCATGGTTACAGGCCGGTGGCTGAGAATGTGGGTGGAGCAGCGCTCGTCCTGAGTTAGTGACCTCAGCAAATTGGAGCTCAGCCATGGTCAGTATGATAAATGATCTTATTCTGGGTCAAAGAAATGGTACCCCACAGGGAGGTATCCGCAAGGCGGCCCGGGAAAGCRCCGTGCTCCTGCAGCACTGACCCCGTAGTGACCAGTGCTGCATATATCTTATTTATTGCAGACCAGAAGGGAATTTTCCATGGTTCAGCTTTTATAGGGTTCCCCTATTTCCCTGAAATTATCTGCTGGTTCTGCAACCAAGGCAAGAAAATGGGTGTAAGTACACCTTCTGGGTGCCTTTCGAGGCACTGTGGGCTTTGTGCAAATTTGTACATGGATTTTAAGGTAGGGGGCAGGGAGATGTCTGGTCCTTGCATGTGTGTGTGAGTCTACCAGTAACCTGTGCAGCTCCCTGGGAGCCAAGGGCTGTGTGTCAGCTGAGGGCTATATCCTCAATACCACAGTGGAACAAAATCCTTCCATATTTCTGCACCTTTATCAGTTCAGTGTGAGATTCTTCTGGTGCAATACCCAGCTTGGTGTTTCTTATTCAAGGCACCCAGGTTCTCTCTGCACACAGCAAGTGCYCTCTTTGCTGAGTTATCACTGATGAATCTGTCAGGCCCAGGAGGTTTTATTGAGCTAGGAAAGATCTATGGATTTCAGCCCCGCTTTTGAGGGTGCAAATGAACCCAGGCAGTGCTAAAATGGAGTATTAGATGCATTCCTGTTGCRGAGGAAGCTCAGCAGATTCTTCATGAAGGAATAGTTGGGGCAATGCAGAAGGTCAGGYCTTGGAGGGTTTGCAGGAGGAGAGAGCAGAGTGTGCATTTCTGTCTGCCACGACCAGGAGTGTTTGTGGTGCAGCTGGGCTGAGCAGGAGCCGAAGCTGTTTGGTTTGGTGTGTGCTCACTGCAGTTCCTGCATCCCATCCTCTTGCGTGACAAAGCAATGACTTTGTGTCACTGCAAGCRCACACCTCCTTTTCCTGAGCGCTGTGTTTCGCTGGGTGATTGGTTTTCTGCATATATTGTGAGCTTGAGCTCCCATCTGTGCACTTGAACTAAGCAGTTTTCTCAAACGTTTGTCAGTTTTTCTTTTTTTTAATTAACTTTAGATTATTTTTGCCTGAGAATTTGGAGAGGGCTGATGTACTGTTAGCACAAGCAGCAAAAACTGTCTCTGTATACAAATAAGACAGGGATTTCCTACCATGTGCTTCAGTCCCTCCTTTGCAGTTTGAGAATATTTCTGCTTCCTTGGCTGGTTCAGTCTTGCCTTTCTTCTGATGCTGCCAGTGGTGAGGACAGTTAATGAGAATTAAGAGTGCATTTTTTAATGTGATACTTTTTTGCTGAAACTGAAATGGAGTAGGCTACCAAAAGGATTTCAATAAGACCATGCAGCAGTGATAAAAATATATCATTAGTGGGATGAGCTGGGCTCAAGTTGGTGATGCTGGAGCAAAATGCTATGTTGTCTCAGCTCTCACCTGAACCTACCTCTGGAGCCAAAATGCACAGTGGGTTTTGCAGCCAAATTACGACACCTGTAGTACAACTGTGCTCCTGCCAAAGCAGATGCCTCTGTTCTGTGATGGGGGCCAGCTTCAGACCAATACAAGTGTGAAATCGCTGCGTTGTAATGATGGTTTAACTTGTCAGCAGATGTGGTGCCTGACCAGGCTGAGATTTTTTTCTTTCTTTATATGTCATCTGTAGAGAGCCTGCTGTTTGCATAGCAAATCCTTGGCCCAGGGAGCTGGAAACCTGTTAGACCCGTAGCATRGTATCAGAAAGAAAATGTCTTAGGAACACTATGTATGTCAACTGTAAGAGATAAGCAGTTGTGCTGTAATTTACCTCTTATTATTTCCATCATGAGAACACAGAGTCCTGAGCTGTTGATCAAGACTGCTGTTCAAGCACTGAGCTGCAAGATGGCTTCTCCACAGACCACTTGCAATGGAAGTAATCTTGTTCCTTTTCAATATCTTACTTGTGGGAGATGGTTTTGGTGTGGCTGTGGTCATTTTTCATCCTTTATAATTGATTTGTTCTAGTAATATTGGTGTACAGGACATAGAGATGTGAAGGTGGGTGAAAAAATTCAGTGCATCTGATAAAACAGATGAAAGTGTTACGTCTTAAAGTTGGCTGTGGAGAAAGGGTCTTAATTTTTGTACCTTTTGGAACGGGCAAGCTCCAGGCATGCACAGGGGTGTCTGGGGTTTTTTTTGTATTGTTTAAATTCTTCAGTATGTGTGTACGTGACTTCTGGGTAGGAGTAAATGAATGTAGGCTCAGGTGGGGCTGAAAATAACATTTATTATGGAAGGAGATGGGGCGAGGGRGTCTTCCAGCTCAGCCTCGAATAAATCAGTCCTCTCGCCCCTCCGTCCAGGCTGCTTCTAGGTGGCTGYCTTTTATCCAGCTGGTGCAGCGTGTTTCTGTTTAAATGATCTCTCCTGAAAGGTCCCAGAGGAAAGGGCTGCTTATTCCATGCAAGGAGAATGGTATATGGCACAGCTCATTGTTGTGTGCCCTGCTGCAAATGCATAAATATGAAACAGCTCGCRGGCGATGCTGCGGTGGGGCTGGTGTCCCCTTCACACCCCCCTCCCTTTCCTGAAGGCTCCTCTCCATCTTCCTTCCTTTACAGCTTTCATTTCTTGGTGATGGAGAGCGGGAGCCGTTTGGGTGTGAGATCCTGAGGGCTTGGCGTTGCAGCAGCATTTTTCAGGGGAAGGTGAATGTTGTTAACTCCTGTTCTGATGGCTGACCRACCCCTGTGCTATGTGTGTATATATACATATATATAAAATGTATTTATGTGTGTAGATATATATGTGTGTATGTATATATATGTAGATACACACACCTTAGTGGTGCTCCCTGTCCCTGGTGCATGTTGCTAGGAAAGAGGCAGAAAATGGTCTATTTTRTTCCTTTAACTACATGTCATTAGAAGGGAGTCGTGGGTTGGCCCCAGGCAGGTGATCCAGCTCTCCAGGCAGTTTTGAGGCACAAAGCAGCTCCTTTTGTCCAGATCAGAGTGATCCAGTGCTCGGAAGCAGCAGTACCTGTTGTGCTCTGGGCAGCCCTGCAGTGGGACCAGGGTGTTGGGGTCACAGTGCTGGTTTGGAGGCACCAATGCCCTGGGGAAAGCGGGGGGAACAGAGGTAATATCAGAGCATCCCCCTCCTCCTTTCCCCAGGAGAAGAGGCCCCTATCTGCTGCAGATGAACATATCCCCATTGCCTGGCTGATATGCACCTGCCTACGCTGGGGCTGTTCATCCTGGGTGTGACAGAAGCAATGAGGGTGACGTTATTGGAAGAACTGCAGTTTGGCTCTGGGTAACATCCATGATCCCATAAAATCCTGGGGTAAGGCCTGGGATGAGTCGAGCCAGTACACAGACATTTATTATTGCTRGTCATGAAACAAGCACAGGAGGAATGGTACACAGAGTGAATTTAGCCCAGAGATGCATGTGTGGAAAGGTTCCTCGTGATTACAGTGAGCTGAACTCACATAAGAAACACATCCTGCTATCCCCACTCCTCCTGGAGCGAGGCTCCAGCCCTCACTGGTGGATTTGTRCCTTCAGAAAGCTTCCTTGCTTCTTTGAAAACAAACAAAACTCTTTTGGGGCTTTCAAAGGGCTGTTTAAAGGAGCCCCAGGAGAATAACTGATTGTGGATTCGGAATGATGAAGTGGTTTGTGGAATGGTGAAATATAGAGGCAAATGCAGGAGAACTCCACATTGCAATTTGTCAGCTTCTCTAAACCCTGTAACGGATTGTTCCCCCCCTCTGTCTCTTCTCACCTCTCCAATAGGAAATTAACTGATGCTATCACTAAAGAAATTGTTTTTGCCTCACAAAGTAAAATTGATACTATAAAAACCCGCCAGCAGTGTCTCCTCCTCCTTTTACATGAAGACAAATCCTTCCTGTCACCTACTGAAATGGAAAGATAAAGGCTGAGCTTTAATAAAGAAGCTCTAAGCATAAAGTGTAGAAGGAGGGAGCAGGCACAGCGTGGGGAACACACCACGGCAGCAGGTGTGATGTTGAGGGATGCTGCAAGTGTCCAAAATGCAGCTAAGGGCAGGGCCCACCTGTCTGTTTAATGCACAAGCATGGACACATTTGGGCCCTGGAGCTCCAAATATCTCCAAGAGCTTATGCTGGTTTTGATGCAAAAGTRTCTGTCTTTGCTCCTTTCAGCTTCTTAGGCTTGCTTGTTTGGACTTCTTAAATCTAATTGAACACACAGAATTAGACACAATTTGTTGGGTGACAGTGTAATGCACAGAATATGGAATGTGTCAAAGAGATCTGAACATTGGGAATCTGTTGCCAGACTGGTGCTTCAGCGGGAGCTGCGTTCATTCTTTGTGGGATGAGTTTTCTGTGGGAAATGTCTTCTGCCCAGCCATGGGGACAGGATGTCTGTGGGTTTCTTTGCAGCTATCCCCATCCATGCTGCATGCTCCTCATCTGCTCTTTCATGGACAAACAATCACTTTGCTCTGGCATCACTGGGAGCCATCAGCTAGTTTGTAAACCCTGTCCTTTCTCCTTCCAGGGGATATCAGAAACCTGCTCAAGTGGATCAAACAGAATCTGTTGAAAGAGCGACCAGAATTATTTATTCAAGGGGAATCTGTGTAAGTACAGTTGTTACGAATCCTCCTTGTGTTTTTCTGTTGAGCCCCATGGTTTGGAGGATTTTTCCTCTTGCAGGGGGGTTTCCTCTTGAGTAAGTCAATGACAATGAAAATACAGGATTTGCTGAAGTGCTAATAGGAGATATCCTACCCACACCTTGCACTATCCACAGAGAGCATCTTTTGCAGCCCTCACCCCAAATCAATAAACCTTGACCATGAAGCAGGGCCACTTATATTTTCTCTCCATTGTTACTTGGAACACCTGTATCCTCAATTCCAGGAGTTTAGCAGGTCTCTCTGTTCCCTGCTGACATCACTGGGACTGAAGTAGTCATTCTGAGAAATGCCAACAAATACTTCTTCTGGGAAATGTATTTTTATTATCAAAATGGGGCCAGCCTCGGGGGGGTTGGGGGGGAAGAAGGCAAGAGAAATGGAGCAGAGTGAGCTGTGCAAGCCATCCCTGACTGCGGGGTGGCGCTGGGGGTGTTTAACATTCGTCACGGATCTTTGTGAGCTGAAGCGTGTGCCAGGTCCCCTGGTAACAGGAGAGACAATTGCAGGACACTGAAGATCAAAGAGGGGGAATCCCTTTGCTCAGAATCAGGGGCTTGGAGTGGATCCCAGGTGTTTAATGCCTGTGGTAGGGGCACTGGAATGCCTTTCCCTGCCTTCACATCGAGCTCTCTGCGCTCGACTGTCGTGCGTGGGTTTTAATTACCTGGCTTTTCTGCATCGTACGGAAATGCAGTCATCCTGGAGCATCCTCGGGAATGGTGCCTCTTCATTCAAATGAGCTTTGGGATTGCTCCTGCGTCCCCTTTATTTGATCTAGAAAGGGCACAGACTGTACCTGTTTCCACCTCCATGCTAGGATCCCTTTTTTGGCTTTATAGGCAGTCAGCTTGTGATCTGTGCTCTGACATCCCTTGTTCTTAACTATTTGTGGAGCTTTTTAGCAGCCCTTTCTCCTAATTATTTCTCTCAATTCTGCAGGAGGCCAGGAATTTTGGTGCTCATCAACGAYGCAGACTGGGAGCTAATGGTCTGTACTCCTTCACTTTGACTTTCTTTGTTGAAAATATTGCTCTCCCTGTTCTGTGGTTGCTCTCACAGAAGCTATTTCTGATTCTTGCCCCAAGCAAAGCATCTCGTATTTGAGGGGGAAGGGGCAGGCTGGAATCTCTCTCCCATATTGTGGCTGTTCAAAAGCCTGGAGCCTCTCTCTAACCTGCTGAGTCTCATCAGCCAGACAGGGTCTGAAGGGAGATCACCCTTTTCCCCTGGTCTCTGTCATTGGGTTTTGCATCTCTGGCAGGTTCTCCCACATGTGGGGTGACAGTGTGGGGGGTGCCTGGGACCTTCAGGCCCCACACAGAGCCACCTTCCCCTGCAGTCAGGTGGTGCCCGGCAGGTGAAGGCCATGGGGAGATTTCAACTCMAACAGGCACCTGGTAAATGTCTTCCCTTCTCAGCCCACTGTTGTSCTCAGACAACAAACAGCCCCTCACCATTTCCCTGCCTCAGGCAACTACCTGTTCTGTCACAACCCTGGTCCAGAAAGCGCTGTGGGGCGATGAGCTTCAGCACTGTGGCTGATCCCTCACCTTTGCYTCTGTTATGATGAAAACATCATTCTGTCCCCTTTTGCGCTCCCTAACACTCACCATCTTTGTATGAGTTGTCTTCTCTTTGCAGCTTGTATTTGGAAATGACATTTAAACCATTTTTCTTTTTATTTTCTTGGCCTGCAGGGCGAGCTGGATTATAAACTCCAGGACCAGGATAATGTGCTTTTCATCTCAACATTGCACGGCGGGTGAACTCCTGAAAAAAAAACAAGAGGATATAAATCCAAATCCCTGGGCAAAAAAACCCAAACAAAAACCTTAACCCACCCAAACCTCTCTTGAACTGCCTGTGTCCAGTCTCTGCATCTCACTGCGTTCACTTGTTCTAGACATCCAAATAAAGCCCCGCCAGCCTGCGGCCTTCTGTCCACCACAACAGCATTCATCTTTTGGTCCTCATTTCACCTCTCCTGACTGCACTTCCAGGTACCCTAACGAGCAGAGAGCACCTCAGCATGTGGGACTTTGTTTTCTCGGACAGCAGGAAGAGGGGTGCTGAACCCWAAGTAGGATGATGTGTCTTTGCAGGCAGTGAGGCGTTCTGGGAGAGTTGTGCCTGTTTTGGGGGTAGGCTGGGGTGCCTCTGCCTTGGTGCTGGGACCCAGGATTTTTTTAACACGATGCTTGATGTTGGTACAGTCTCTGCACCAGGCATGGGAAGGGTGAGGAAGTGCAAGGAAACAAAAGGTGGCTTGACTCGCTTTTCCATGGGGAAGCAAACATGACRGTTCCAGAGCCCTGTGAAGTGACTTTCCACTTGTCATGATAYTTATTTATGGGAAGCAGGAGAGAAATAGGCTTTTTTTGTTTTGTATTTCTGATCCCTCATGCTGCTTTCATACCAGTGCTGAGGCAGGGTGAAGTACTGGCCCGTGAATAACGTCAATTTATAACGATTTGGTTGGAGGGGAARCAAACGCTCACCCCGCCTGAGACAGCACAGAGTGATCAGGACAGCAAATGATCTTTCTGTCGCTGTGATAGACAGAATTGATTGGGCTGCACTGCATTCTGTGCAGGTGGGAGCTGCAGCCTGGCTGGGGAAGGGCTGGGGCTGGAGATGCCCGCTTAAAGTGCCGAGACCTGAGAAAGTGAGTGGCTTTTAACCCTTTCCATCAGTGGGAAGGAGAGGCTTCTTGCTGCCTTCTTGCTGAGGAAGTCCTGTGGGTGCTGTGGACGTGGGTGTGTGTGGCTCTGCTAGGGCACGGGTGTCGTTGGCTTTCCAGAAGTTTCCTCAGATAGACAGACTGGCCCCTACCAGGCAGGAGGCCCCGGCGAGAGCAGAGGGATGGGGTCAGAGAGGATAGCATTGGCACCAACAGGTCTGAAACTGCTGCATGAGCTTCCAGGGGTGCCTGACCAGGATTGTCCTCCTGTGTTCCCCCCTGCCCTGCTCACCTGTTTCGGCGCAGCTCCGGCAGCAAGCACAGGTCCCCGGCAGCAGCTCCTGCCTGAGCCGCGGCTCTTGTGGAGCAGAGGGCTCGCCGGTGCTCAGCCAGTGCATCTCGGAGCTCATCTGCACCACGTCCTGCTCCGAGAGCCCTCGATCTTCAGGAGCTGATGAGATGGGAGCAGCCGGTGCAGCAGCCCCTGCTCAGGCAGCCTGGCTCAACAGCCCAAGTGCTGCGCACAGGGAGCCTCTCCCGCCCTGCGCTGACGGAGGGATTCCTCTGTCTGATGCGGAGACAGTAATTCCCTCAGCTGACTTCACTGACTCCTCTCTCACGTTTACCCCTCCACAACCTGTGTAACTAAAATCACCCACGGACTACGATGCTGCTGCATCTGAGGAGCCCCAGCTTCAACCCACTGCTGGTGACAAACCGACATTCAGCCTTTTCCAAATCCAGCCACAGCGACTTGAGTGCAGCTCACGCCGTTTGTAAATGACACAGATGGGCCAAAGGCTCTTCTCTGTCCCGAGTTCCTGGCCATTAGCTTTGCTGGGCTGTGGAGGGGGATTCCAGGTGGTAGTAGGAGCTGGCTGAAAAACAAGGAACCTGTGTGGCGTGCGGCTTGAAACGGACTGAAACACGGTGGGAGAAGGCAGGTTCGTCTTCAGCGCTGCTGCCTGCCCTTCCTCTACGCTGCATCTGTGCCTTAGGCTGGGCTTTTCTGTTCTCATCCCCCCCAGCTGTTTGCTCAGATAGGATGGGTTCCTTCCCCGGGAGCTGCTATTCCCCTCGATAGTGCAGGTAGACCCAGGTGGCTTAGCTCCTGCTGTAGTAAAAGCTGCCAATCACTGCTAAAAAAAAGCTAGAAATGGGAAGATGAGGGAAGCCRAGGGGTGGAAAAGAGGGGTACAGCAAAATCCCGTAACAAGCAACAGCAGCAAAAAGTTTCTGAAATAAAAGCCTTTTAAAACATTCTCTGCCTCCAGCTTTGTCCTAGATAGGCTCTTGGTGAAATTCTGCTCGGATCTTGYAATGCTTCCCTCCTCCTCCTGGGTTTCCTTGGCAGCCCCGGCCGAGCCGCTTGGCTGGTGGATTCATAAAGCCTCTCTGTTAGAGCRAGCCTTCCTCCGGCCGCCGTTCCGCGGGGGCTGCTCCGCTCCGAAGGGCTCACCGAGCGGCTGTCAGGGCCGTGCCCGCAGCCCGGGGCCGCTCTCCACCGAGCCCTCCCGGTGCCCGAGCGGCGGGGCCGCTTCCCGGCCCGACGGAGACCCGGCGCAACCGGAGCGGCCTCCGTGTGCCCGGGGCCAGCCGGGGCTGCGACAAGAGGACGAGAAGAGTGTCCCGGTTTAGGGGGCCGGGCGCAYGCCGAAATACGTTCAATGAAATTAAGCCGCAATGTTAAAATAGGTAAATAAATAAACATGAGAAGGATAAACCGGGATGGAGCCGCAGGGCCGAAGCGCCCGCCCGCCGCGCCCGGCTGCGGCCCCACCGCCCCCGGCAAAGAGCCGGTACCCGGGGCTCGGTCCCTCTGTCCCTTCCCGGTGCCTGCGCGGTGCCTGCCCGGCCGGGGCTGCCCRTCCCGGTGATGACCCGGCCGGTATTTGACGCATTAAGACCGAACCCTCTCGGCCGCACCGAGCCGAGYGGAGCCGCCGCCGGTGTTTCCTCAGTTTCCCTGAAATCCTGGCCCCGAGCTCCGGGCCGCAGCCGGGAGCGGTTACCTGCCGTGCCCCGGGTCCGGGGAAGGTCCGTCCTCTGTCCTGTGCCCCGAGCACCGTCCTGGAGCCCCGCCGGAGGAGGTGAAACCTCTGCTACAGATGTCCAGACACAATTCTTGGTTCGTACGGCTCCATCGCACAAGAATTGCGTTTGGACAATCAGGAGCGGAGATTCCCATCCCGGGCTGGCGGGATCTTCCAGGGGGAATCCGGCTGGAGCCTGGAAAAGAAGGACACACGGGCCCTGAGCCGGCTCTCGCCGCCCCCCGCTCCCGCTCCCCGGCCCCACTGAGCCGCTGCTCCGGCCCCGACAAGTTTCGAGCGCAGCCGCGGCACTTCGCATCCCGGGTTCCATTTAATGGCACCGCGAGGAGTTTAATTCTATCAACTCGATTCTTACCCCTCAGAAAAAAAAAAAAAAAAA